TGCATAAACCTTTCCTTTTTGGGCAGGGCTCAAAATCAGCTCCAGGTCTGAATTTTGCAGTGGCCTTTTCCTCCCACAGTGAGCCCAAAATTCAGGCTCCAAACAGGCTGAGTCTCCCCAGTGCTGTGCTTTGTGAAACAGCCTCATCTTATAGCCCTAAAAAGAGCTCAGGTACTCACTTTTCTGTCCTGTAACCTGAAGTCAGGCAGTGGGAAGTGGTGGAACTCACTGCTACAGGAATATGCTGTGACCTGTTTATCTGAGGAAGTGACATTGATTGCCTCTTCACTAGTTTAAATAAACCCACAAGAACCATCATTTCTCAGAGTGAAGCTGAACCCCAAGGTCAGAAGCTCAACCCTAGAGAGGGGTATAAGTCACCTTTACTGTCTGCACCCTCCAGGTGCTCCTCAAACTCCCCTGAAAGGCTCAATCCCTCCGAAAACTCCCCAGTCTCTACAACTGAGCATCTTCTAGCAGCTGTGGTTCCCACTTGGCATTTTAAATCACAAGCTGTGACTTCACCCTGCTGCATTATAGATGCTGAATCACACCACAGTCATGAGAGATCCCCACAGCCAGGAGAGGGAAGGGCATTGCCCCAGGGCAGTGGTCCCACATCTCCTGTGAACAAGTCCTTCCTCTGCCAAGGACATGCTGGGATGCAATGTGCCAACTTCATCTTCAGCCTCCACTGCCCCTGGCAGCAAAATGTGTTGCACTGGGTAGTTTCTGAGCTGCAGGAGCCCCTGGGAATGGGATTCAGGCTCATTCTCACAGGGATCAGGGAACATTCAGCAGGTAACACTGACATTAAGCCTCTCTGAAGCACAATTGAACAGGAGCCAACCCAGAGCGAAAAACATTGCAAATCATCCATTTCTTAGCACTCCAGGACTATTCTGGGATAAAAGGGAGGTGGTTTAATACTTAGAACTGATGTTGTCAGATTTCCTTTGTCACCTCTGCTAAAGCAGGGACATGAAAATGAATCTTTTAACCAACATACTCCCAGAGTAAGCAGCAAAGCACAGGACCGTGGAGAATTGTACTGAGATTTGACAAGAGGCCACATCAAATACCAAGCAAAACAATGAAATAAATCCTCGTCTCCCTCCCCAACACATGCTCAGAAAGGTTGTGCATGGTGCAGAATGCTAAAAGTCCCATTGCTGCAAAGGAGGCACTTGAGGAACAGTGTCTGGGCTGCAGAAGAAGTGTCTTGACTAGAATTGCTCAGGTGTTTTGGGCTGGGACACACAGAGCAGGAAGGATTTGGCTGTACCTGTAGAAGAGACAAGGTTGGCGCCCAAAGGTCACGATGACATTGCTGCCAGCGTTGAGGTTGTTGCCTGTGATTGTCACCTGGGTGCCACCAGACACTGGGCCCCTCTTCGGCTTCAGGTCAGACAGTGTCAGAGTCTGGGAAGGCAAAAAGTGGTGATGAAGGCACAGCAGAGCAGCACAGGTACCTTCCCTCACTTGTTGCAGTGATGGGAGAGGTAGGCACTCCCAGGGGTTAATCATGGGTAGCTAACACATGACTTCAGAAGATGACCAAGTCTTCTGGCCAGTAGAGGAGCCTAGGAGGACACCAGTCCTGTCACAGACACTCTGCTTGAATGTCAAGTTTGGTGGGAGGAGTTCAGACCTAACCCAGGTCTGTTCTCCTCATCCTTGTAAAATCAGCCCTGCCCTTGTACCCACTCAGACATACTATGCTTGCAGAGCCAGTTCCCAGGGATGAAGCACTCTAATCTTTTTCTTCTTCTTCTTCTCAGCCTTGGATGCTGAGACAGCCTAGAACTGCCTGAGTGTCCCGCACCAACACAGCATGGTGGTGCTCATGTTGAGATGCTCTGCAACACCAGCCACAACAGCAGTACTGCCTAGGTGAACATATTTTGCCTTCCCCTGCTGATTTTCTGAGCCTCTTTTCCAACCATAACACAGTGCTAATATATCAGAAAGGGCCACAATTCCTTTAGAGGCCTCAAATCTCCAACCTCTTTTTCTTACTGCTCTCCCTCCTTCCCCAAATCAAGATAAAATACTCCCACTCTGAAGGCACAGATCACCCTGTTCCCACAATGCAGAGGGGAGACATCCATTCTCAGAGAGAAATTTGGAGCTACAGTTTATTCTTTCATTTGCATTTTAATAGAAAAACTTTCCATTCAGTCCCAAGTGAAAAGCTACTATATGCATTTAAATGAAGATTATTTCTTTTCCCTTCCCCTTAAGAATGATGACACAAATGCTTGAAGCTCTCAGCTCCTCTGAACGAGCAGGTACATCATGCAGGCACCTTTAGTGAGCTTTGGAGACCATTAATCCATGTTTATGAAACCACCTGACACACACCACAGCTCCCACTTACACACACACTCAGAGCCTTCTCTGCTCCTGTCTCTCTCTGATTAATCAGTCTGAAAAACAGCAGCAAGGTTTGCAGTTTGCTTTTGTTCAAAATGCAGCTCTTGGAGGAAGGGCAGAACATGAATCATAGAAGCCACCAGGTTGGAAAAGACCTCCAAGATCATCAAGTCCAACCTTACCGTGGTCACTAGATCATGGCACTAAGTGCCACATCCAGTCTCACCTTGAAACCCTCCAGGGATGGTGAATCCGCCACCTCCCTGGGTAGCACATTCCAATGCCTGAGCACTCTCTCCCTAAAAAATCTCTTCCTAATATCCAACCTAACCCTCCCCTGGCAGAGCTTGAGTCTGTGCCCTCTTGTCCTGCTGCTGGTTGCCTGGGAGAAGAGACCAACCCCCCCCTGACTCCAACCTCCTGTCAGGGAGTTGCAGAGGGTGAGAAGGTCTCCCCTGAGCCTCCTCTTCTCCAGGCTGAACACCCCCAGCTCCCTCAGCCTCTCCTCATGCCACTTGTGCTCCAGTCCCTTCACCAGCCTCGTTGCTCTTCTCTGGACCTGCTCCAGCACCTCAATGTCCCTCCTGAACTGAAGGCCCAGAACTGAACAAAAAAAAGCAGACACAGAGCTCTGCAGAAGGATCTTCTGTCAGAGCTGGACACTTCCTGTCTTTAAACTTCACATGATAGTTTAGAAACTGGTTTTATATATCAAATCACTGAGTTTGAAAAGTCCGCTAAGATCATCGAGTCCAATCATCAACCCAGCACTGAAGGTTGTATGGAGAGCTCAGAGCAACCTGCCAGGAGCTGAAGGGGCTCCAGGGAAGCTGCAGAGGGACTCTTGGGTAGGAGCTGCAGGGACAGGACAAGGAGCAATGGGGAGAAATTGAAAGAGGGAAATATAGATGAGATCTTAGGCAGAAGTTTTCCCTGTCCCACCCCTGGCTGGATTTCCTGCCCTCTCCTCCAGGTAGATAAACCAGCCATGCCCTTTTGAAGGATCCTCCAAGGCCAGAACTCCACCAGCAACACTCCTTGGCAAAGCATTGCTGTGGCTCTTACAAATGGGTTTGTGGCTGAGCTTTCAAAGTTGTGATAAACCATTAATTATTCACAGTGGCTTCATAAATATTGCACAGCATTTCACAGCAAAACTCAGCCTGCAGCACATTCACCATTTCCTTGCTGGTGAGAGGTGCTGGAAGGGTCTTGTGGACCTTTTTATACCTTGATGGAAACAAATTGAAAGAGGGAAATCACGATTAGATATCAGGAAAAAGTTTTTGCTGTGCGTGTGGTGAGACACTGTCCCAGGTTGCCCAGGGAGGCTGTGGCTGCCCCAACCCTGGCAGTGTTTCATTCCAGGTTGGATGAACCTTGAGCAACCTGCTCTGGTGGGAGGTGTCCCTGCCCAGGGCAGGGGGTGAGGCTGGAGGGTCTCTGAGCTCCATTCCAACCCCTAAAATTCTATGATTGCTCCTGGAAACAAGGGCAGAGTAAAATATGAGTCCCACACAGCTCATGTACCTGGGTATCCTCTCTGTAGGCTTAACAGTAGCAGCAGGAAGGGAAAGATGGAGACAGAGACCTGTTGTAAATGCTCTCCTGGGACAAGGATTTTAGGAGTAGACCCAGGAGAGATGTGATCTGAGTAGCCCAAATCACATGCACTGAGACACAATATTCTCATCTAAAGCCTGAAGAAAGGTAAACTTGTTTCAGCACCTGAATTCAAATGCGAAGGTAATTTTTTTTTTTGATTGAAAGACTGTGGCAATAATCACAGCAAGGAAATGAATTAAAAAAAAAATCCTTTTCATTTAGGTCATCATAAATTTCATTTCAGCTTTGTTTCCCTCTCGGCTTATTGTAGTCTCTAATGCAATTTGCACTTTTTGATCACAGATGAGTTTAAAACAAACTAAGAGCTTTTTTAAATTTAAAAGTTCTGGTTAGAGATGTGAAGAAGAACTGTTCTGACATCTCTAAACTAAGCTACCTCGTTCTTAAACCACTGAAATCACTCTGCTGATCCAAAACATCAGCATCACTCCTGCAGCCGAACCTATTGGCCAACTCCAACCAAGTTTTGCTTCAACCCTTTCTCAAAGCAGTTTTCCAGAGGATTTGCTCCGAGGCAGAAAGCAACATTTCTCTCCCCTGTGATGCCCTTCCTCTAGTTTTCAAACATCTCCTTTCCCTTCAAGCTGCCACGCACCACTGCAGGATGCCAAGGCACGTTGTGATGTCTCCAACAGCATCTCCACCCTCCTGGCAGGAGGAAGCCAACACAGCTCCTGCTGTGAAAGCACTAGCCACAGGAGAGGCATGTGATGGGCAGGCTGGAGAGGGCATGTCTGGGTTTTTTTCTGTCTAGCACAAAGGTGTGGAGGTATTCAGCAGAGAAAACCTTGTTGGCTTCACCCTCGTGCCTGGCTGGGAGGGCTGGCAGCCAGCAGGAGGAGGGAAGAGCTGTCACACGGACACGGCTGATCAAAATCAGACAGCAATTCCAAGAGCAGCAAAGGTGCCACGTTGAAGTGTAATATCCTGGAAAGAACCCTTCTGGCTGCCTAGCAGGAGCTTTGTCTCGAGGTGTTTCTCTGCCTCCACCACTGTAACACCTGAGTGACATCAGAAAACACAGAGAACAGAGACGTTTCTGTAGCTCGAGGGGGAAATCGAAGCTATTTGCATTCATTACAACGTCCCTTTGCCATGAAAAGATGCTCAGGCATGTGAATAATTTCAGACAAGACCCATTCCCTTGCAGGAGACGAGAGCTTTTGATGGGAACAGAGTTCCTCTCATCTCAAACCTGCACAGATCAAGGCCAGGCAATGCTTGCATGTCCCCAGCAAGGGGCCTTAGAGGAATAATCAGGTCTCTTGGACAAGGAGCATCACCAGAAAGGAGGAAAAAACGCACAAGTCAAGTGTACAACATGTGTTTGTACTTGAAGTGAAGTTCAAGCTTGCAGGTGTCTATCAATTCATCATGGAGCATCCAAACCAGTTGTTCACTTGCACTGAGCCCCAGTCAGACCCTACAGCTCACCACATCTGGATGTGTCCTGATCCCAGTGCTGCTGGAGTGGATGGGATGAAGAAAACCCCAAGGGGAATCAATCCAGTGATGAGGAGGAAGAAACCTCTCCATGAACATCTCATTCCT